TTAAAATTTTTTTCTTATAAAATAAAATTAAATACTGCTATAATATAATCCTTATTTTCAAATATTATTAAAAAAAAGAATTTTATATTTTGTCGTCTATGTGGGCTATTGCATATATCACGTGCTTATAATATTGTGTAATGATTAAAGCTAGTATTTCAGTAATGTCGTATAACCTTTAGAATAAATTGTAAAGCGTGTTTCTTATATCGTATAACATAAATGCACTGCAGAGTGAATTTTTAAATCGAGTATACATACATTGTTCACTTGATTAGTTAATATAAAAGAGTATATGAGCATTATTTTACTTCTCTTTCACTTATAATTAAGAGTTTGTGACAAAATTACTCGTGAAATTGTGAGGTTGAAATCATGTTTTGTTAAAGAAAGTAAGATAGATAACGAAAAACTAAAGAAAAAGTAATATTAAGGCATGCTTATCAGATGGAATATATCAGGTAACTTTAAGCATTTCTATTTCTTGGCTTTTTATAATCCTTAATACAAGTGCCAAGTTTTTTTTTTTTTTCTTTTTTTTTTTTGCTTATTTTAGACGTTATATACAGTGTTCAAGTTGGCTTTTTTTTTGATTCTGAGAGTTTTTACGTGAAGAAAAGCAATACTTATCAGACGAACTATATCAGATGACTTCAAGTAACTTTAAGCGTTTTATTTTCTTGGCTTTTTATAATTCTTAATACAAGCCCCAGTCTATTTTCTTTTTTTCTTTTTTTTTTTGCTTATTTTAGACGTTACATACAGTGTACAAGCTGGTTTTTTTTTTTTTGATTCTGAGAGTCCTTACGTAAAGAAAAGCAGACGAAATATATCAGGTGACTTCAGGAATTTCTATTTTCTTAGTTTTTTTTTCAATCCAAATACAAGCATTTATACCTTTTTTTGTTTGTTTTAGACATTAAATACAGTGTTCAAGCCAGTTTTTTTTTGACTCAAAAAATTCTCAAGTAAAGAAAGAGCATATTCAAGAGCTTATAAATGGTGCTTATATAGAGCATGAACCTGATCATTGTACTTGCAATTATATAGTTTTTTCGCTATCACAAGTGTTATTTTTTTTCCTCTATATTATGTTCTAATGGGCGAAAATTCAAAAGTTTTTTATGTTGATAGCTTAGAATTGGATATTGGTTTAGAATCAGAAATTTGTGAGGATAAGTACGCCAGTATCTTTGTTTTATATTTTATATGATTACTTATAACTATATATTAATAGGTTGTAGCTTGGCTGCTACTTGTGAAAATGAAACTACAACTTTGTATTCTGGCAAAAGGTTTCTGATCTGGAAGGTCTGTGAAAATTTCCTCAAAAAATGGGCTAAAAAACAAGTGTTTCATATTATTAAGGATCGTGTTTCTCATGAAGATAATATTATTCGTAGATGGACTTTTTTATGTGAATACAGCCGCTCTTATGATTCAAATTCACATAAAGACACCAAAACAAAAAAGAAAAAATACACTTTTCTTGTTAATGTTTCTTGTCTGAAGGTTAAGAATCTCGAAGGTTTTGTAATTATCCATAAGATCAAAGATGAACATAATTATATACTAAATAGTAAGATTGTAGAATATGAAGATGCTAAAAGGTTTTCTGATTCGATATTAGAGGATATAAAATTCATGACCATGCACTGCAAATTCAGGGCTATAATACAAAGAAAATTTCTTGAAAGAAAATATCCGTCACAGCCAATTTACTCATAAGATCTTTATAATGCAATCTAAAAATTTTGACCTACTACAAAATCTTTGTCAAATGACGCTGCACAGATTTTAGGATGGCTTAATTAGCAAAAAGATGGAGATCTACGTTGGATAGTCGTTCGAGATTGGGATGATGATAACACCTTGACATATTTACTTTGGATGAGACCAGATAGGTAGAAAATTAGATTCGGTATTCGGATTGTGTCCTTAATAACATTATACATAAAACCAACTGCTATGGTATAGCACTATCATTGTTCATTAGGTTCAACTCTAATCATCAAAATATATTGTTGGCACAAGCGCTTCTTGCGGATGAAAGTTTGAAATCATATATTTAGATGTTTCGACATATATATAAGGCCACCAATATTCAACCATCTGTTATACTAACTGACGCTGATCCAGCTGTTGATGCAGCTATTCGTCAAGTATTTACTTTATAATATCCTATACATTGTGCATACCATATCACTCTAAATTTGCATAAAAATCCCAGAAAACTGTTAGGAGAGGATTATGAAAAGTTTCTTGAAAACTTTTATCTTGTCGTAATAGTTTAGTTAAAAAAGGATTCCAATGACGCTTTGATAGTCTTATACAGGATTATCTGAAAGCACAAAGATATATAGAATTTCTTTATAAGTCAAGAACCTATTGGGCACACTGTTTTATAAATTTCAAATTTACAGGTAGCATAATCGCGACATCACGTGTTGAATCTGTCAATGCATGCCTAAAATGTTTATTGCACAATTCAAATATTTCATTATGTGAACTTGCAAATAAAATTCATAGATTACTTAATATCCAGGATAGAGAAAATGAGTACAATTTTTGGAGGTTGGCTATTCCTGCTATAAAAAATCAAGAGAAAGTTAACTTCTTGTTTACAAAAATAGATCAATGCCTTCAATGATTTCTTACTCCTACAATATTAAAAATGCAATGACATGAGATAAATCAGTCAGTATATTATACTTTTAATAGAATTGCTCAAGATGCTGAAATCTTGGATGAAGATGATTTAGCAATTAGCATTCAAGATCATGAAGCCGATAGCTTACAAGTTGTGCTTAAGGAAATGTTTAAGTTTGTTGGTGTGTCTAATATTAAAGAAATTTGGGCTATCAGCATCGGCAATTCATTGAAGGCTAAACATTATATTATTTTGTTACAAAATAAATCTCATATATGCATATGTCTTTCTATTATTCGATGCGACATTGTATATAGGCGTTATTTTCAAATGATGCTAATGACGGATAAAGCTAAATTTCATATTTGACTTTTACCTTCACGATAGTATTGTTCAAACAAAAATAGATCAGAAAAACTATTTGTAGTTGCAGATAAGTTTTCTCATGAAACACCAGAACAATTGAATAATTCATTTTGTGTTTCATACTTATCCATGTTTGGGCAGGATAAAATAAATAAAAATTTAACAGCTATTGATCAGAAAATTATATACAGAAAGCTTCATGGAATTTATAAGAAGAAACTTTGCAAGGCATTACGAAACGATTCAAAATCTTAACAATTAATTAGTTTACTTCAAGAATTTGTGGATAATATTGATGAATCAGACTCTGAGTCAGAAGATGAACAGAATAATAACGATAAAGAAAATATTAATCCTATAGTTTCTTTGAAAAATCTAAAAGCATGGCGTGGTAAAGGCTGGCCAACAGACACAAACTGGTTTAAATCTGTTCACAAAGCACCAAAACTCAAAGTTAATTAGCGTTAATATAAAAAGTATGGAGACCTCGGTCACTATCAAAAGAATTGCAGGTCTTTATAATTATTATTTGGATTAATCTGTAGTTAATAAAAACTTTCAAATTTATTAACACTAAGTTATTTACTTTTACGCATTATTTCAAAGGACAGCTAACGAATAATTTATTTATAACAAGACTGTGACAATATTTTTGTATTTGTTGTATTTGCTATATCACAATTTAGATACTATAAGTTTGCTATTCATTTGCATAGTATATTGTCTGCATCGGAATTACATCTGCTTTTAAAAATATATTAAGTGCCTTTTTAGATTTAGGTTTAGGATAAATGTTAACATTAATTAATGCAGTTATTATTTGGCTTCTTATTGCCTTTTATTGTTTAATATCAAAAATGTGTATACTAATTAATGCAAATTTAGAAAAGGAATTAAGTTATATACTACAGATGCCAGGAGCAATACTATTAATGAGTATAAGCACATTTGCACTATTGCCCAGTTTTTTGATTTGATTGGATACTATATAGTAAGACCCTATTGTTACTTATTTATAGAGTTCACATTAAAAAGTTAGATTATGTCTTATTTATATACTGATACGCATATATATTAAGTATTAGCAAAATCTATATACGTACGTATGTACGTATGCATTAATAAAAATATCATGATAATTGTTCAATAAATGTCTATTTTAAGTAATTCAATTAGCTGCAGATTTGTACATCTTAGTCACGTGTTTTGTGTAACTGGTGATAATTCACTATGGCATCAAATTACAAAATCTTAAAAAAAATTTTATTTAAATATTTTAAAAATTAAAAAATATAGATTATAAGTATATTTATGATAATTTTCTAGACAAATTTGCCTAGAAAAGCTTACAGTTTAAGGGATGGAATATAAAATATACATTTAATACTAATAATTTTATATAGTCAAAACAAAAATATATATTTAAGAAGGTATTGTATTTATAAAGATTGTATTTAGAGAGGTTTAATTATAACTTAAAATTTTTTTTATAATCTAAAAATAAATATTTTTTTAAATTTTACTAATTATAACTTATAGTAATGATCACTTATATCACATTGTAATATACTTGCCTGGCTTAACTAAATATTAAATATTTTAATAATAAAATGTGTTATTATTAGTTAAGTTAAACAAATATATTACTTGACTTAATGTATAAGAGTGGTTAAGAAATATTTTAAACAAGAAAAACTAATACTAGTCAAAATCTAAAATAACTTTCTTATATCTTCAAATAATCAGTCCAAATAATAGCAGGCCTATAGAATAATGGTTTATAACAGATTTGATAGTAAAAAAAACAAGCTAATAGCCTAAAGATTTTAAGAAAATATGTTGTATATCAGTTAATTTTATTATCAAATTATTTAAATATCATTATAATAATTAGTATATTATTTAAGAGATATATAGAAGATTTTATTAAGATTTTTTAAAGATAGTTTGGCAATTAGATTAATTATTAGCCAATATTGTATAGGCTAATTAAAAATAATTTTTGTTTAGTTTATATGATATTATACTAATATAATAAATATATTTTATTGGTTTAGGCCGCAGATAAACTAGTCTGAGTCTCTTTTCTTGCTATCGTATGATATGAAGTTTAAGGTGCAATTCTTTTCTGTATAAAAGATTTTAATTAAATTTCAATAAAGACAGAGACATGGTCTCACCATTAATATTCAAAAAAAAAAAAATAAATATATTTTATATAATAACTATTAATAATTATAAATTAAAATATTGGTATAAAAAAATGTTGAACAATATTTTAGATTTATTAATCATTATTAAAAGCGATTGAAGCTAATATTTTAAATATCTTCTTTTTTTTTTTTTGATTTTAAGGTGACCTCTTTGCCACACTGCTCTTTATTCAAATATCAGTAGTATTTTTAACTGTCAGATATATCCTGACAGCTATACATATTTGTTGAATACAACTAGCCATACCTGCGCCTTTTGAGCATTTATTTAAGTAGTCTGCTTATCATCAGATTCTATACTAGATGCTATACCTGCACTTTACTAGGGGTTATTCATTTAAACACTCTGCGTCTATGTACCAATTCTTTTATATCCAAGCGATGATACTTAGTATCACTTTATTTTCACATACTGGCTTAGGGCTTTAAAGTGGTCTCTACCATTTAGGAAATCCTTTGACCTTGAGGTAAACCTGCTAGAGCCTTCCATACCTATATTTAGGCTGATCTAGGCTTCGGTAACTTATACCTAGTTCAAAAACAAGTACTTGCAAGCTAAAGCCGCTACCATTACCTACTTCTGCCCTTATAGAGTTCACTCTACTCGCCCAATCAGGATCTCTTCTACTGTTTCACCAAACTTCCAATCCAGATAGCCTGGTTTGGTTCACAAGTTATGTTACTCGCTTTCCTACTAGCTTAACTCAGATACCGGCCTGTGCCTTTTTCCTCTAGTCGATTCCGGTGGCCAGTTGGTATAGTGCTTGCCAAACATCCAGTCTTTGTCCAAATCCACAGCTTATTGGTTCTCTTCTCAGACTTTTCAGAACCGTCGAAAGTAGTACTACCTCTCTACTTGGGACTTGCCAAACAGATTTCTATTCAGGACAAAGTTTAACAGATTTACACAGGTCTCGATGACTTATCATGGGTTTACACTGCTTTTTATCAGGTTGTATCTTTTTGTGTAACTCCTCTATTATACGAATACCCCAAGATCTTCTAAATCTGTACTATCATCCCCAATTAGGGCTTGCAAAAATAAGCTATCTGTTAGGCAATCATTATCCCTTGCATCTATTTGGTTTGACTGTTATTACAGGATCTCCATCCCAATACCCGAAATAGTCATCAATGCATAGTAGAATTCGATTTTTTGTCGTCGGTGGGAATTGAACTTTGGATGTGCCACTTGAGGGGTGACAACTTGACTACTTCACTAAGTTACTACACCTTGGATATTTTAAATATCATTTTAATCATTGGTTGATATAGTAATAGTTATTTGTAAAATTTTTTAATTGATATTTTGCTGATATACAGTAGTAATTTATTAAATATATATTGAATATCTTATTAGTAATCAGATGATCGACTTTAATTTTAGGCTGATAGACTTATGATTACTTGAATGATAGAGCTATGATTACTTAGATGATAGATTTATGATTACTTACTTTCTTTAAGTATATTTTGAATGATTTTTTTATAATTTTAGATTATTTACTAATTATTTAATAATCAATTAATTTTTTTTAAAAAATATATAGCTAATATTATTAATTTTTTAATTAATTTACAAATATTATCTTTCTGATAATATAAAAATTTTATATAATATATTACTATTTAATATTACATTAGATACTATTTATGCTATATGTACTGATTTTATATTTATTAAATTTAATTATTTCAAATAAATTTTATTTTAAAAAATAAAAATTAAATAATAATTTATAATTAACATTTATTATTATTTTGTGATCTTTTTTTAGTTTTTTTACTTTCAGCACTCCTTTCTCTTCTCTTCTTTTTTTTACCCACATGCTTTTTTTATCTGTATGCTTATTTTTAGCCTTATCTATACCTTTACTCTCACTATTATCTCTTTATCATCATCACTACTGCCAACACTTTCACTTGGTATATTAAACTCTTCATCAAATATTGTTGTAACATTTATAGAGAGGTCTTTTATATCTCTTAAAGGTAATTTTGCTTCTATTTTTGTTGATATTGCTGCTGTTTTAGTTTGTGTTATTGTTGCTTCTGTTGTGTTGCTATTATTGTTGCTACTACTGTTATTGTTGCTATTAGTGTTGTTGCTGCTGTTGTAGTTGGTATTGTTGTTGGTATTTTATAGTTTGTGCTGATAATGTTGTTACTGTGATAAAATTAAACAATGTGATAGTGAGATCAGTAATGTTAAGAAGTAGTGAAGTATTACTATCTGGCTTTTTTCTTTTGTATAATATAATTCTATCATCATCATCTCTTTCTTTTCTTTTATTTCCTTTACTACTTTTTTTAGCAACTGCACTACTACTTTTTTTTGCTTTTTTTACTTATATAGATCTTCATCTTTACTGGAAAAGTTTGTGTTAAATTTTAGATCTGAAATATTAAATTAGTTTAAAGCTTCTTCTGATAATGCTCAATTTGAGCAATCAGGTAGTGGCATTTTATTTTTATCAACATGCTCTTCATAATGCTATTTATGTATTCTATTGTTCTTTGGCTATAGTTGTTTCACAAATAGATCAATATGCTTATAAAATAGCTGTTTTAACTAAATAAATAAGGTGATAGTCTATTAATATAATATTTATATCAGTATAGTATAATAAAAAAAATAGATTAAATTAACTAGTATTATAAATAATGCTGGCTAATTTATCTTAATATAATATGATTTTTTATATAATAAAAAATTAAAAACATATGTATTAATAATATTTTAAAAATTGATCAACATTATTTTTTTAGTACTAATAAAATATTTACTTACATTAGAACTTCGCCACTATTTGTCAATACAAACTTACTTTTTAATCTTTTTACCATCCTTTGACTTATTCTCATCTGTCTTCTACTCTTCATCAAAATGATAAGCATTCTTTTCTTTGCTTTTTGTTAAGATCTTTAAGTTTTTCTGTGAATATCTGTCACAGCCTTTTCTGACACGATTATAACCAACAACTGATCAAAAGAAAAACACTAATGTATCTACACAAAAGTCAGTACATGAACAACTCTTTATTTATTATGATACTTAGAAGTGAAAAAGGTAATTTTTTCTTTATCTTTATTTTTCTTATGATCCTTATATACATAAAATAAACTTCAAATTAATTACATCATAATTTATCATAATTAATCTTATTACTAATATATTATACAATTTTTACTTTAATTTATTACAGATTTATTATGTCTTCTTATCGATCTATAATTGCATCATTAATT